TTGCTGCTGCTGCTGCTGTTGGTACTGCTGCAACAGCAGCAGCAGCTGCTGCTGCTGCTGCTGTTGCTGTTGTGTTGCTTGTATTTGTATGCGCAGACTGTGTCTTTGCGGCAGCAGCAGTTGCTGCAGGGAGACGATGAGGTGTACATACACCAGAACGAAGCTTCAGTATTTCGTTTGCTTCTGCTGCTCCTTGCCACTGCCAGTCGCTGCTGCTCAGGCTATCCTCTGCTGCTGCTGCTGCTGCTGCTGCGGTTGCTGTGGGAGCGCTTGCTGTTGCTGCTGCTGGTGTTGCTGCTGCTGTAAGAGTACCTGCTGCTGCTGCTGCTGCTGCTGCTGCTGCTGGAGCAGCAGCAGCAGGTGTCTGCGCATACACCTCAAACCCTCGGAGGCTAAGCGACGGATCAACAGCAGCAAATGTCAGCAAGTCTGGCGGTGCTGCAGCACACGGCGTTTGCTGCTTCTGCTGCTGCTGCTGCTGCTTCTGCTGTTGCTGCTGCTGCTGCTGTTGCTGCTGCTGCTGCNTTGCTGCTTCTGCTGCTGCTGCTGCTGCTTCTGCTGTTGCTGCTGCTGCTGCTGTTGCTGCTGCTGCTGCTGCGACACCCAGCTGGGTGGAGGAGAAGATGCAGAAGAGTTCAACTGAAGATCTGCTGCTGACTGGTAAGCTGGCTGCTGCTGCTGCTGCTGCTGCTGTCGCTGTGTCTGCTGCTTTTGCTGCTGCTGCAGCGCCGCTGGTTGGTAATGCTGCTGCTGTTGCTGCTGCTGCTGCTGCTGCTGCAGCTGCTGCTTCTTGTATGTATAAGGCTGAGGCTCAACATCTGCATGCGGGGGAGGGGGCAGCAGCAGAGGAAAGGATTTGTCGTTTGTTTTCTCTTCTGTGTCTGTGCTGCCAGGAGCAGCAGCAGCAGCAGCAGCTGCTGCAGCAGCAGCAGCAGCAGCAAATGCGTTATTTTTTCGCAGTTCTTTCGATTTGTCTGCGAGAGAAGAGAAACGGTAGCAACGCTCAAAGGGCGCAGCAGCAACAGCAGCAGCAGCAGCAGCAGCAGCAGGACGGCTGGGGGCCTCTGGGTCTTCTACATCTATAAAGAAAGAAGGGGAGTCCCCCTCACTCTGCTCAGCAGCAGCAGCACTGCAGGCGCCCACCCATTCCATGCTGCTGCTGCTGCTGCTGCTGATGCTGCTGATGCTGCTGCAACGTTTGCGGCTTCTGGCACTGTTGCTGCTGTTGTTGTTGCTGCTGCTGCTGCTGTTGGGGCTGTTGATACTCTTGCTTTTGCTGCTGCTGCGGGCGATGGCCCTGCTGCTGCTGCTGCTGCTGCTGCAACTGCTGCTGCTGCAACTGCTGCTGCTGCTGCTGCTGGCTCAGAGACAGCCAGTGAGATAATAATAAAAGGAAGAAGAGGGAGAAGACAACCAAAAAAGGGTAGAAAAGAAAAAATGAAAAAAAGAAAAAAATAACGAAGCGAGTCTGGGGGGGAGAATCCAAGGAAAACGCGGAGAAGGAAAGGGGAGAAACTCAAACAAACGATGCAAACCCTAAACCCTAAACCCTAAACCCTAAACCCTAAACCCTAGACCAGTCAGAAGAAGCTGCGCTGGCCCGGGCTGGGGCCAGGGGTTGAAGGCTGCGCCTCAGCGATGACCGTGTGGGTAAACAGCCATTTTAAACCCTAAACCCTAAACCCTAAACCCTAAACCCTTGGGTGTATAGCATGAGGGGGTATTTGGCCCCCTTCTTTCTCATCTATGGGTATCGGTCTATCGATAGGCGCTGCTTGTATATTTATTCTTCCTTCTTTATTGTAAACAAATGAAAGAAGTTCTCAATGAATTTCCCCGCTTTAAAATACAGCATATGAGTGGAAACTGAGGTGTATATACACTGCAACCTCAATAAAAAGACAACTGCATGCAATGCAGAGAATGACGAGAAAAAAAGCGGGGCGGTATCATCGACGCCGTTTGGGGTTTCAGGGAGAACAGAGGATGTTCTGAGGGAGGAAGAGAGATAAAGCAAAGGAAATGAGTTAATAAATTACGTAAAAGTGTAAAAGAAGATGCAAAAGCGAGAAAAACACCAACGCCGACCGCTGAGCCCAACAGTACCCATGGCTCTGCATACCAGCTAGCGAGGCAGGACGACCAAGACAACGGCTTGTTTTTAGAATAAAAAAGCAAAAATAAATCATCAAATACTCACATTTTACATTTATTATAAATAAAAACTATTTCATTCACTATTTATAATTTATAAGTGCAAACAGCCAAACAAACCCATACAGAACGAGGCCCACGGCACCGCTGCGATCCGATGCCACCCAGTGCTAGTAGCGAGGCACCTGTGCGTGAGGCTGTAGAAAAATTTTTGCAGGAAAATTATTTTAATTGAATATTTTAATGCAAAATATTATTTTTAAAAGAAATATTCAAAAATAAAGCCAAACTGTTGACCCAGGACGCCTGAAACACCCCCTACAAGCAACGCACACAGCGCAACAGTAAGCGAGGAAATTCATGAATACGCCGGTAGAATTTGTGTCTAATACTTCTGCATCTATTCTCATCGAAACGAGCGACTGCTTCTATTTAATTTGAGGCGAAAAACTTTTGCCTTTATTAGCATCTGCATTAAAATAAATATAAATACAACACGCACCACCGGACGGATACCGATACTGTAAGCACTCCGAGTTGCACAGAGGGAAGACAAACAGCAAAGAACAGCCGCCTTTTAATGCAGATTCAAACAATATATTGCTTCTAAAGAATTCAAAAGAGGAATATAATTACTTTGGGGTTTATTAATACATGAAAGCCATCAACCCTTCTCTCCTCTATAGGCACAGGCATACCGATGCAACAACTCTGTGCAAAAGAGAACGCTGCAATTCGCTTCCCGCCGAGTTGTTCATACACTTGAGAAATATAAAACTTGAAATAAGTCGAGAACAGTATTTTAGTTAGTGCATTGGTCCTCGCTTTTGTCTATACTGGCCATAGGCTGCGGTGCAGCTTGAAGGAGGCAGCAACTGCTGGTGTTCTCCTCCTGCTGTGGCTGGCATAGAAAGCAGCAACTTTGCTTCATTATTAACCAATAAAACAAATACAAATATTAATTTACATATATGCTTGTGGTTGGGAGATATTTATAGACTTGATTCCAGCACTTAGATGCTTCACCAGGCACCTGTACACGCAGCTGTGCTGCATCACTGCAACGCCATTTGCAGATATTCTGTGGCTTTCTGTTGCCGTTCGTCTTGAGGAAAGCTCAACGTTTCCTTCATTAGCTGATAGAACGGAAGAAAGTGATGATTTAAATACGTGTTTGTAGTTATATGACTGACCTGAACCAGCAGCAGAACCCCCTTTTCTGTATTCGTTCGTTCTACTCAACCATCATGAACTGATAAACCAAAGAGTGGAGCCTCCACAAACTGTATTTTTCTTCTGCTGGTTCAAGCAGATGAAAAGATGAATTCGTGCGGAAATGTAAAGGATCTCTAAACGCCGCTGGCGTTCGCTGTCAGCAGATGTAGCAGCACTACCTCCTGCTTATTTTGTGCAGATATGTCCTCAGTTCTAAACTATAATATGCAAAATTCTTGTTTGGTAATTCATAAAACTAGCGTTATGTGAAAAAAAATACAGAAAAGGAAGAACTCTGCTGCTGCTTCTGCAGGAAAGCACGTAACGTTCAACCGCTGCACAGAGCAGCAAGAGCACCCTGGAGAATAGAAGCACCCGAGTATCGATAAAAATGTATTTTTTTTTGTTTTAATATATATTAAACTATCCGTAAAGAAGAAAGGAAGACAGATGAGGGGAAAATACATCAGCTTCAGTGCTAGCATTGAACTAGGACCAGCGATGGTCCGTTCTGGTTTCTCAGCAGCTCGAAGCGAGTAGAAGCAGCGCGAAAATAGCAGCAAAAGCAAGATAAAGTGGAGAATTTATTGAATGTAAATAAAGTTTATTTTTTAATTGTGATATATAGATATTTAAATAGTTGAAATATCCTTTTCTCCTCTGCTTTCCAACCCCAGTGACTCGATTCTGCTGCTCCCGCAGCAGCAGCACATGGTGCTGACCGCGGGCCCTGATGAAGGTATGAGCCGAGGATCCGCTTGTTTCGGGGTTTTGTTTGTTTATCAGTGGTGTATTTATTGCAATTTAATGCTGCTAATTGCATTTGCAGTCGATGAAGTAGCGAGTTTCCAGCAGAGTGCTGAGAGATCGAACCTTCAGACACGCACTGCGGCTCGTGCAGTTTTTCGTTTGCTTTTTCATACCAAGTGCTTTTCTGGATAGAGGCTTTAACTGAAAAGCTTTTCTTTGAATTGAAAGGTGCTTTATTGCTCCTTATTTAGGTGTCTAGACACCTCAACGGCGAGGCTAATCACAGGAACAAGAGGGAGAAGAACCACTGGCACGCACAGACCGCTGTTGTGGGTTCTTCATTGATTCAGGCCAAACATATTCTCCTTATTAATTAATTAATTTATTTACTTTGGTATTCTCCGTCTTTTTGCCGTCGTGTTTCTACAGTAGACGCGAGCATTTGGCAGTTCTTTCCACCGTTTCCTTCGGCAGGCTGTGGCCCCGCTCGACTTCATCATCAGTTCATATCGCCTCCTTCTCTCCCCTCCCTCTCTATCTATCGTTTCCTTTTCTATTTCTTTACAAGATGTGTCACCTGCGGTCTGCTGCGCTGACGGGGGCAGTTTTGTGTCTGCTTTCCATGGGGTCCACCGCTGTAGATGGCGTCAAAGACAAAGTTCAGCATCACCACCACCACGGCCACTCAAGAGCAGCATCAGGAGGAGCTTTACATTCATCATCTCCTCTTGTTTCAGCTCTGCAGGAAACAAGCAGTGCTAACCCGTTTCTGCAGCCCCCCCTTTCCGACTACATGGCCCGTTTCAATATCCCGGAAGTACATGGTGCGTAGTTATATTTATCGGGTTGCTGCTGCTGCACTGCTGCGTTTTTAATACGCAGAGTTTCAGCTTGTAGATGTAAATGAAAGCGTTTATTTCTTTCTTTTTTTGATTGATTCCTTTCGATTACCTACATATGTTGATGAAGTAACCACAGAATTCACGTTTCTGCGGTTCTTGCGGCCAGTGAGTGGTGATCGTGTTGAATCATAAAACTAGGGTTTAGGGTTTAGGGTTTAGGGTTTGTTGTTTGGGGTTTGTGTTTGTCAGGTAGCGGTATTTATGTGGATCTCGGCAACGACAAGAGTGTAGACGGACGGACCTATAGAGAGCCGAGCGGGCGGTGCCCCGTCTTCGGCAAATTTATTAAACTTTATCAGCCAACGAACAATCCAAAATATGCAAATGATTTTCTCGCAGATATACCAACAAAAACAGAAGCAGATGCAGCAGGACGTCCTCTTCCTGGTGGTTTTAATAATAGTTTTAAATTACCTGATAAAACATCTTACTCGCCGATGTCAGCAACCAAGCTAAACAGTTACAAACAATGTGCGTATACACGCTGCAGTGTATGTACACCTCACGGGGTGTACATACACCGCGTGATCATATGAATGCAGAAATACACTAAATCCCTTTAAATAATAGTATTTCAATTTTTTTTGGATAGAAAACGAAAATTATTTTGTTTTTTGTTGTTTTTTTCTTTTTTTTTAATTAATTAATGCGAATTTCCTCTTTTTTTTCTGCGTTATGCTGCCCCCTGTTTTTGTGTTTCAGTGAAGGCGTCAACGCCTCTGGGTAAATGTGCAGAGATGAGTTACTTGACTACAGCGGGGCGTAATTCAAGTTATCGTTATCCTTTTGTCTACGATACAGAAAACAATTCATGTTATTTTCTCTACATTTCTATGCAACGCCTCATGGGGGCCCGCTACTGCTCCCAAGACGGAAAACCAGAAGATATGACTTGGTACTGCTTCGAACCACAAAAGGATCCAACAGAAAGAACTGGGCTTGTCTATGGTTCTGCATATGTCGGAGAAGACCCAGATGCGTGGGAACACAAGTGCCGTAAGTATATATAAATATATATATATATATATATATATATATATATATATATATATATATATATATATATATAT